GATTGTAGAGCCGGTGAGCTCAGCACCAGCATCTGTGCAGGGCTGTGAGGTCCTCTGGTGTTGATAACAGTATCAGTACTGGGGCTGAGCTCAGCGAGCACATTTGGTGGTAGGGACTGGCTTTCCACCCTTTTCCGCTGTAGCCTGTCATGCCAAAGGCCTGCGGGAAAGGTGGATAAGGAATCACAGGGAAGGGGAGGAAGCTGCCCCACTTTGCGTTGCCTCTTGCTCTCCCTGGGGGCCAGGGCCAGACAGGTCAGACAGGACGTAGGGACCCTCCCCCCAGAAAGGTTCAGGCAGGAGAGGAAAAACAAGATCTGGGTGGGGAGAGGGGAGAAGGCCAGGACCTACCTTGGAGATGATGATGATGATGATGACAATAGCATGGCTACAGCCTGATCGGTATACCTCAGTGGTTGAAGGTTGACCCGTGAACCAGGAGTTCACTGATTTGGCCGAAACCAGTTTGGCTCAGCGGATAGAGCGTCGGTCTATGTACTAAAAAGTCCCAGGTTCGATTCCGGTCAAGGGCATGTACATTGGTTGCAGGCACATCCCCCATGAGGGGGGGTGCAGGAGGCAGCTGGTCGATGTATCTCTCTCATCGATGTTTCTCTATCCCTCTTTAGATCTCTATCCCTCTCCCTTCCTGTCTGTGAAAAATCAATAAAAATTTTTTTTAAATAAATAAAAAAAAGAGTTCACCGATTTGATTCCCAGTCAGGGCACGCCCGGGTTGCAGGCTCAATCCTCAGTAGAGGGTATACAGGAGGCAGCTGGACGATATTTCTTTCTCATTGATGTTTCTATCTCTCTATACCTCTCTCTTGCTCTCTCTCTAAAAATCAATTAAAAAAAAAAACATGTAAAAACTAATTTATAAAATAAATGATCCTTGGGCAGCTGTGATCCTTGGGCAGAATAGGCAGCTAAGAGCTTGGACTTTGGTGTCCAACTCTGGGTTCAAAGCCTGGGTGCCCTGGACAGGGGGCTCATCTATGAATTGGGAATGCCCATCTGTGAATTGGGATGATGAGAGTGCCTCTCTCAGAGATTATCATGAGGAGAGAGTGGGTTTGGGCACAGAAAGCATCAAGCAGGGCCCAGCACATGAAAGTCTCCCAAGAGGCAGCTGCTGCTGATTCCGAGAATTGGGTTGGACAGGCCTGGGATCTAATATCCACGCTGCTGCCAAGCTGTGTAACCTGGCCAAGGGGAAAGTCCTCATCCTCTCTCTGCCTTGTGTTTTATCGTTTTTTGGTTTGTTTTTTCCCCCCCTGTAACTGGGGTCAGGTCTGTAGCCTGGTCAGGTGTGCAGATTAAATGAAGGACTCTGGGCTGAGGGCTTAGAAGAGGGGCTAGAACCCAGCAGGTGTGCAGTAAGTGTGTGGGTTGTTCTCTAAGGGGACACACTTCCTTCCTCTGTGCAGTTCCTGGGGGCCTGACCATCAGTGCCTATGCTCTCTGCGACTCCTTATACAACTCCAGGAGCTGTCATAACCCACTTTTACAGTGGAACTGAGGCAGAGTGGCTGAGCTACCAGTGCAGGGCCACACAGTGAGCTCCCAAGGTGGGTTGGCTCATGCTATTCATGACACAGAAAATGAGGTGGCACAGTGTGTAGCAATAGAGCCCAGGTTTGGGCCCTGGGCTGTCTGACTCCTAAGTTCCAAGCTTGTCTGGGAATCCCAGCATCCCCCATTCCTGGTGCAGGCCCCTACCTTTAAGTAGCAGCTTCTCTCCTCTTTCTTTGAGGCTCCCATAAGGTCAGGAGTTTGGGGACTGGGTGGGAAGAGGAGTGTGGTGAAGGAGCCAGCTGTGCTTGGAGCTGCCCCAGGGTGGGGTTCCTGCCTGATCATTATAAACACGGTCAGTTCCTCTGTTTGTCCTGCCCTCCGTGTGGTGCCAGAGGGAAGGGGTGGCCCCAGGCAAATATCCGGAGGTGTGCCCCTCTACCCCTTCCCCCTGTGGGGTCACTGCCTGCACTGTGCAGAGGTGGCACAGTTTATGGGTGGGTGTTCTGGGTTGGCTGCCCCATCTGCCAGGCTGCTTCCTGCTCACGCATCTGGATCCTAAGCTCCTCCCTCTCCTCGGTTAGTAAGGGGTCATGTGGCTAGCCCTCTGCTGAGAGGCCCTGCCGGGAGGTGGCGGATGGGCAGAGCAAAGAGTAAGGAAGGCCAAGGGGAAAAGTGAGGCTAGGTCTGGGAGGCACGGCGCGGAAGACAGTGCAGAGGTGATAGGATATGGGGCAAAGATCTGCGTGACAGCGCAGGGAAGATGGGAGAGGGTCTGGTGAAGGGTGTAGGGTGGGTCAGGGCCACCAAAGGAAGTCTGGGAGGGAGGGCTGTACAGTGTTCAGAGGCCTGGAATCGGGGGAGACACTGAAGGGGCTCCTGGTTTGGTTGGGGCTATAGAAGAGGTTGAGGCAGAGGCAGAAGCAAAGAGGCCCCCTACCCCTGACCAGGGCTGTCCCACCCCATATCTAGACAGCTGGGCTCCCTGGAGCATGGAGGACAGTGCTGTGGCTGGGGGAGCTCGGTCCAGATCTGATTCCGGCCACCTGCTGGCCAAGAGGCCCAGACCAGTTGAAACAGGTTAGCTGCTGGGTTCCTACCCACCGCGCCCTCCACTGCCAAACCGGTTCTCCTGGAGGCTGTCCATTGAAGGTCCTTCCTCTGAGCAAAGGGTGGCAGCCTATTTGGCCTCACAGAGCTGCTCCCGCAGGAAAGGAGTCGCTCTCTCCTGGGAGGAGAGTCAGGGGCTGAAGAGGCCTCCTCCCAGTCATGCTTCTGAACATCCTCATGGGTCATAAGACTCCCTGAGCTGGTGGCTGACCCTGTGCCAGGCACTGGGGAGCTAGCCATGAGCCAGACAAAATCCCCCCTGGGTGTTTCCTCTCGTCCTTAGATATCAGCTCACAAGCACCTCCTCTGGGAAGCCTCCCTTATTTTCACCCTCCCATCCCTCCAGTCTGGGTCTGGCACTTCCTGACCCCAGCCCCGGCCACTCTGGACTATCAGAAGCTGTCTTTATCACCATTGTGTCCCTAATACCAACAGCTGGGCACAAAGGAATGAGTTATTACGGAATGAGTGGGAGAATAAATGAATGGATGAGTAAATGAGACGTTTTGTTCCCACTTTACAGATGAGTAACCCGAAGCCCCAAGAGGAGATGGCACCTGCCCAAGGACACTTCTAGCACAGCCAGTGCCAAACCAGGTCTGTGGACTCCAGGGCTCCTGGGGGACAGAGGAGCCAGACCTGAGTCCCCTCCTCCCTCAGACACTGCTAGAATAATCCTGACCATCAGAATAATAAATAAGGAGAGGCCCTCCTTCTGTGCCCAGCTCTGTTTGCATTAACTCAGCACAGCAGTGCTGTGGAGGTTGGTCCAGGCACAGAGAAGTGAAGTCACTTATCCAGGGTCACACAGAGTAAGTGGCAGAGAGATTTACTCTCTGGTCATCTGGCTCCTTCCCGTTATTTCTTTGGTCTCCCTGGAAATTCCGCCTCAGGTGTCTCTGCTTTGGCCCCTTTGGGTTTTTTATTTGTTTGTTAATCCTCACTATTTTTTTTCATTGATTATTAGAGAGAAGAAAGGAGGAGGAGAGACAGAGAGGGGGGGAGAGAGAGAGAAATATCATGTGAGAGAGACAGGGAGACACATTGATTGGTTGCCTCCTGCATACACCCCAACCAGGGCTGGGGATCGAGCCTGCAACCAAGGTTGTACCCTTGACGGAAATCAAACCTGGGACCTTTCAGTCCAGAGGCCTTCCCTCTGCTGAGCCAACTGGCGAGGGCTGTCCCCTTTGTTTGTTTGTTTGTTTTTAAATCTATATATATTTATTGATTTCAGAGAGGAAAGGAGACGGGGAGAGAGATAGAAACATCAATGATGAGAGAGAATCATTGATCGGCTGCTCCTGCATGTCCCCTACTGGGGATGGAGCCCACAACCTGGGCATGTGCCGTTGACTGGAATCGAACCCGGGATCCTTCAATCTGCAGGCTGACCCTCTAGCCAATGAGCCAAAATCAGCTTTCATTTACACTATGCTTGGTACTATTCTGAATACCTGACTGGAGACCCCAGACCCTGAAAACACGGCCTGTGTTGTCTGTTAGTGTCTGTTGTGATGTGGTCTTCCCAAGTGTGTGATCTTGGTGAGGAGCCTCCTCCTCTGGGCCACAGTCTCCTCCTCTGTGCAGTGGGAGTGGAGCAGTCAGGCCTCGTGGGCGCGGCGAGGCTCAGTGGCCTTTTGTTAAAGTAACCAAAGGGGTGTAGTATTCCTGGCCCAGAGTCCGGGCTGGGAAAGCATGATGGTCATGGCCAGGCCGTTAGGAACAGGTCACGCTAGACACTGTGCTAGGCATGGGGTGGGACTGGGCAGATGAGACCTGGCCTGCAGCACTGATATTCTAGTGATGCAGCTGTAGACGCTAAGCTAGTAAACACAGGAATAAAGAGCAGAATTTCCAGAAGTTAAATGTGCCATGAAGTAGGGCGTGGGGCATGGGCTCTTTTATTGGGGTAGTCAGGAAAGGATTCACAAGGACTCTGAGGCCTGAAGGAGGGAGGGAGGCAGCCATTATGGACACTGGGGAAAAGTATTCCATGAAGGGAACAGTAGTGTGAGGCCCTGAGGTTAGAAAGCCAGTGTGAGCGAGGGCGAGATACAAGTCCAGAGGGCAGGTCATGTGGGTGGGTCACAGGGACGACTCGGCTTCTCCCCTGAGTGAGATGGAGCCATGGGGGCGCTCAGCAGAAGAGAGATGGGATTTGACTCAGGTGCCCATGGGATCCCTCAGGCCATGAAGGACAGTTGACTGGAGGCGGTGGGAGGAGTGAGAGACCAGTTAGGGGACAAGAATGGAGAGGACCAGGGCAGGCCAGAGAAGCAGGAAGAAATGGGCAGGTTCTGATGAGTGGCCCCCTCCTGCAGGCCTGCCGCAGGAGCCCACGTCTGCGCCCTCCTGGTACTAAGCTTGGCGCCATGTTTGGGAAGAAGAAGAAGCGGGTAGAGATCTCAGCACCATCCAACTTCGAGCACCGCGTGCACACTGGCTTCGACCAGCATGAGCAGAAGTTCACGGGGCTGCCCCGCCAGTGGCAGAGCCTGATCGAGGAGTCAGCTCGTCGGCCCAAGCCCCTCATCGACCCCGCCTGCATCACTTCCATCCAGCATGAGGCCCCCAAGGTATGCCGGCACCCCGCCTTTCCTGACCCTCACCAGTCCCCACGAGGGACCCCAACCCTTAACCACATACTTGACCTTGTGGCCAACATCTCCTCGCTGACCCCCATTCCTTATGACCTCCAAATACATGCCCCAACCCTCCACACTCATCCTCACCAGTGCTTCCCTTTCATCCACCCCTTTACCCACTGACACCTTACTAGCCTCCAGCCCTGAGAACCCCACACTTTCCTTGATCCCTCCAACAGTCCGTCCACACCAGCTCCGAAGTTGTGCTCTCCCAAGGGCCTCACTCCTAGAGCTCTGTGTTCCTGACCTCAGTGCCCTAACTTGTCCATGGGTCTTCACAGATCTCCATGGCAGTGTGTGTGTGTGTGTATATGTGTGTGTGTGTGTGTGTGTGTGTGTGTGTGGCAGGGGCAAGGGCATGGGGGGGGGGAGGCAGACCCATTCCCAGATGGTGACCCCCCCTTAAGTGGTCAAGGCTTAGCTGAGGAAGCCCAGGGAAGAGGCCTGATCCAGGCCCAGGGTTCAGACCCACTTTTTAGAGAGAGAGAGAGACCTGAGCTAAGGAGTGAGGAGGAGGAGGAGGAGGAGTCCTGAGGCAGATGGTGAGCAGCAGGGCTTTAGTGGAGGAAGAGGCCCATGTGAGCCTTGGGATTTGGGTTTGGGATTGTTTTCTGCCAGCAAACTAGCATAGGTGGGATTTGAACCAAGGTCTGTTTAAAGGCTTGTGCTCTTAATCCCTTTCCTGCCTCCATGGTTCAGGTGCTCTGGCATTGCCGTGGACGTTATCCCCAGGGCAGTGGGAACAGGAAGGGCCTCGGGCCAGGGGAACGAATCTGGGTTGTTCCAGGGGTGGAGGTGGGTGGAGCAGGCTTGCAGATGACTCATCCTCTCCAGTTGCCCAGCCCAGCCTGGCAGGCGGAGGCCCCGGGTCAGTGAGGTGGGTGTAGACACAGTGCAGACACTCTCCCACCAGGTCTCAGTCTGGGGCCCACTGCAGTGTCCCTGTGTCCCATGCAGGATGCTTCTGGATATTTCAAATTGTTTGTTACCTCTTATAAAGTGAGAGATTTCATGTTCAAACTTCTGTTTCTGGCTTCTCCTGACTCATCAGCTGAGGCTGAGTGGCAGGCACTGGCTCTGAGCCCCACGCCCCACCTGGGCCACCAGGAAGAAGAGGCACCTTGTCTTAATTCACACAAAGGTGCCACACAGGCCAGCACTGTCCTGGGGCCCCTGTGTTTTTGCTGCCCAGTCCTCCCAGGCCCTTCCTCCCTCCCCCAGGCACTTCTGACCCTAAGGCCTGACCAACTGTCTGCCAGGCTTCCGGGCTGGCAGCCAAGGGCCAGCAGAGGCAGGGGCAGGCCCCATAGGGGCACTGTGGCCAGTAGGTGGGTTTTGTGGGGTCAGTGTTGCTGCACAGTAGAGGCAATTCTGACTTCAGGCTGTCTGGAAGCCCTGGGCCCATGTCCCTGTGTGTCAGTGGTTGACAGCACAGAAGTGAGGGCCATATTCTCTGCTTCCCACAGCCTCCACTCAGCTCCCCTCACTTCCTCATAGTTCAGCAAATGTTTATTGAGTACCTTCTGCAGACCGACGCTGCTCTAGGTGTTCAGATTTAGCAAGAGCAGAAACCCAACTGCTGCTCGCACACACATTGCACCTGGGGAGCTGTAGGTGTCTTTATATCCACTGATTTTATTTATTTAATTTTATAAATATATTTTATTGATTTCAGAGAGGGAGAGAGAGATAGAAACATCAATGAGAGAATTATTAATCTGCTGCCTCCTGCATGCCCCCTGCTGGAGACCAGCCCTGCAACCTGGGCATGCGCCTTTAACTGGAATCGAACCTGGACCCTTCAGTCCACAGGCAGATGCTCTATCCCCTGAGCCAAACAGCTAGGGCTCCACTGGTTTTAAGTGCTTTAAAGAAAAGGCAGGGAAGAGAGACAGGGAGTGTTAGGGGCTGGCATTTTAGATGGTTAGCAAAAGCTTCCCTCTGAGAAGCTGAGTTTCCAGCAAAGACCTGAGGAGAGGAGGGAGGGAGCCACGGCATACTTGGAGGAAGATGTTCCAGGCAGAATGAACAGCCAGTGCAAAGGCCCTGAAGTAGGAGCTGCCTTTGTATCTGAGGAACAGTGAGGCCCAGTGCCTGGAGCTCAGTGGGGGACAGGGAACCCTGGAGGCTGTTTCTCAAAGAGGAAGCCAAGACCTGGCTGAGGGTGGTGGGCATGGAGAGGGTGGGCACTGGGTGGATTTGGATCACACACTCCACCCAGCCCCCATGGGCATTCTCATTGCCATCCCCACTCCTGGGGTACTCTTGCCCTCTGTGTTGGGCCTAGTCCTATGTGACTCTCCCTGTACCCAACCCTTGGCTTCCAGGGAAACGGAGAATGGGTTTTTGGGGTTAACAACACTGGCAGGCTGCAGGGGAGGGAGCGCCAAGCTGTGCCCTGGTCCCAGCATCCTGTAATTTCCAGCTCGCCAAGGTTGATTATGGAGCTGCATGGCCTCTGCCCTCCCCCTTCACCCACAGGGCGGGAGCCTCCCCCAGCCCGGAGAGCGGGGGAGAGAGGAGGTGCTTCAGCTAGCTTCTGGCTGGGGCGTGGGGCGGGGCAGCCTCCCTGAGGGGAGGTTACTCCTACAGCCCCCCTCCTGCAACTGACTTCTCTGTGTGGGGGTGGGAGTGGGGTGGGGGAGGGGGTGCTCCCTGGTGCTGCCCCCATTATCGCCCCATGGCATTTCTTCATTTGTCTCTCTGTCTTGTCTCTCTGTGTGTTGTATTGTCCTGTCCTTGTGTGTTGGTTACACATCCTTTGTCCCCCTCCTACTTGCCCCGCCCCTCTCCCACCACTGACCTGGATGCTGGACCCCAGACCATCGTGCGGGGCAGCAAAGGTGCCAAGGATGGGGCCCTCACGCTGCTACTGGATGAGTTTGAGAACATGTCAGTGACACGCTCCAATTCCCTGAGGAGAGACAGCCCGCCTCCACCACCCGCTCGTGCCCGCCAGGAAAATGGGACGCCCTCGGAGCAGGCCGCCGTACCCAGAGAGGGCCTGGAGAAGGCGGGCCGCCAAAGCCGGGTTGCTGGCCGCCGTGAGGGGAGTGGCAGCAGTGGTGACAAGCGGCGGGTGGGGCCGGAGAAGAAGCCCAAGTCTTCCAGGGAGGGCTCAGGGGGGCCCCAGGAACCCTCCCGGGACAAGCGACCCCTTTCTGGGCCTGACGTCAGCACCCCCCAACCTGCTGGTGTGGCCAGTGGGGCGAAGGTGGCTGCTGGCCGGCCCTTTAACACGTACCCGCGGGCTGATACGGATCATCCATCCCGGGGCGCCCAGGTAACTAATCCCCCACCCCAGGATCCCGCATGTCTCCCTCCCCAACGCTTTTCCTATCCCCACCCACCTACTCCAACCTGTGCCCTGCCCACTGTGCATCTCCACCTGACCACCATGTGTCTGTGCCACAGCCGTCCTACTCAGGAGAGCAGAGCTGGCCCCTGGCCCCTCCACTGACAGCCTCCTCTCCTTTCTGTTTCAGGGGGAGCCTCACAACATGGCCCCCAATGGGCCATCAGTGGGGGCCCTGGCTGTCCCACAGTCCTCCTCCTCCCGGCCTCCGGCCCGAGCTCGGGGCCCCCCCAGCCCTGGAGTGCTGGGCCCCCATGCCTCCGAGCCCCAGCTGGCCCCTCCAGCCCGAACCCTCACTGCCCCTACGGGCACCCCCGCCTCTGGGCCTCCTGACCCCCGCTCTCCACAGCGGGAACCCCAGCGTGTGTCCCATGAGCAGTTCCGGGCTGCTCTGCAGCTGGTGGTGGACCCGGGCGACCCCCGCTCCTACCTGGACAACTTCATCAAGATCGGCGAGGGCTCCACGGGCGTCGTGTGCATCGCCACCGTGCGCAGCTCCGGGCGCCTGGTGGCCGTCAAGAAGATGGACCTGCGCAAGCAGCAGCGGCGGGAGCTGCTCTTCAATGAGGTGGGCCTTTGGCCTCCAGGCCTGCCCTCGCCTTCCTCCCATGCTCCTCCACCCGATGGTGTGGAGCTCTGAGGTGGCCCCTCTGCCGGCAAGCTTGTTACAAAAGCAGGCACCCGCTCCTTGCAGAGGGGCTCTGTGGAAGCAGCCTCTGGACTCTGACGCAGGTAGCCCGGCCCTCAGCCCCCGTTACTGTGAGCTTCGGTTGAATGGAGCCCTGTAAGCAGTGTGTTCCCACCTCCCACCTTTCATTCCACCTCGGCTCCTACCTACTTGTCCTGATCTCAGCCCTGAGCTCAGACGCCCTCCTACCACCCCCTCTCCCCACACTAGCCTAGTCTTCGGGGCCACTCAGACCAGCAGAAAAGTGTGTTTGCAAAGAGAAGAGAGCACCCTCAGAGTACAGGCTTCAGACTAAGCTGCCTTCGTGGCCTGTTGGCTTTGGCAGTGGGAAAGGCAGTCCAGGGCGATCCCGATTAGCAAGAATGGCAGGTGGAACTGGGCTGCAGTGTGGCAGAACCCAAACCCTGGCCCAAGAGTGAGGTAGGAGGGCGGCTGGCGGCTGGCGGCCCTCCCCCTACCACGCTGACCCGGCCTCCCTCGCCAGGTGGTGATCATGCGCGACTACCAGCACGAGAATGTGGTGGAGATGTACAACAGCTACCTGGTGGGCGATGAGCTCTGGGTGGTGATGGAGTTCCTGGAGGGCGGTGCCCTCACTGACATCGTCACCCACACCAGGTACTGCCAGCAGCACAACCCTGGCCGCACCAGCCCTGTCTCCCCAGCTCCCTCAGGGGCGCTAGAGCCCCCAGACCTCTCCCGGGACAGGACCAAGTCCCCTCCAGACCCCTTGGGGTGGCGGAGCCAGCAGGGCTATATCCCCCTCAGACACCCTGGTTGGACCGGACCCCCCCCTCAGACCCTGTTTATCCCAGTTGCTTACCCCTCCCACACAGGATGAACGAGGAGCAGATTGCCTCAGTGTGCCTCGCCGTGCTGCAGGCCTTGTCTGTGCTCCACGCCCAGGGCGTCATCCACCGGGACATCAAGAGTGACTCCATCCTGCTGACCCACGACGGCAGGGTGAGCATTCGGGTGGCTTGGGCTTCTGCTGGCCCTCCCCTACTCCCCCCTGCCTTCAGGGGAGGCTCTGGCCCTCGGGGCAGCGTCTTGGGGAGCAGTCAGCTTGTTCCTTGTGCAGCAGTCCAGAGTCAGGTCATTGGGGCCCGGGCTGGCGGGGCTCCGCCATCAGCACAGGACCCCGCACCTGTGCTCTTGCTCTAGGCTCAGAAAGGGGAGAACACGTTTGCGGGGCTGCCACCGTTTGGCCATGTGCTTCTCCCATCCCTGAGACCGAGCACCTGAGTGGGCCGTGGACCCCATGCTGCCTCCCATCTTCCGGACTGAATGAAGTTCTGAATCGGGTCTATGGACGTGCCAGAGCACCCAGAACCTGCATTTACACTCCGAGTGGACTTTTAGCGGGGGGCCCTTGGCTGTCACCCAGTTCTTGGAGATTCGACCTCCCTCCCCCAGGAAAGCTAATCCAGACAACGGCAGCGGCAGTGTGGGGCTAGTTTTCGCTGGGAGTCTCAATCTAGGATCTGTGGACCCCCAAAGACACATCTGTGTCTACAGGAGTGTTTTAGGAACTGTGGGAGCCACCGAAACTTGCACACACTCTGGGCAGGTTTCCGGGTTTGAGACACAGACATCCTCAAGAGTCTGGAAGGGGCCTGTGGCTCCAAAAGAGGGGTGCATCCTTGGTTCTGCGGACCCGGTTGTCGCAGAGGCAGGCCAAGTGCCCTCGCACTCCAGGGAAGCAGAGGCCCCGCATGAGCTTTGGATCCAGCTCTGGTCTCAGCCCCGGCATCAGCCCGGGTTCCCATAGGACTCAGGCCACTTCCCCCAAGGCAGACCTGAGTGGAAGTCAGAGGTGTGATGTGGAGGCAGGGGCATACCTAAGGGCTTCCTGCCAGAGGCCAAGGAATTAAACAGGGGGATGCCTCTGCCCACCCTCCCCGCCAGCACCTCTGACTTTGCTGCCTGCGCCCTGCCCCAGGTAAAGCTGTCAGACTTCGGGTTCTGCGCCCAGGTGAGCAAGGAGGTGCCACGGAGGAAGTCATTGGTTGGCACGCCCTACTGGATGGCCCCAGAGCTCATCTCCCGCCTTCCCTACGGGCCAGAGGTAAGCCAGAGGGGCTAGTTGTTCAGCTGTCACACCAGTTCATGCTGTGAACATGAATGGTGGGGTTCAGAACAGCCAGAGTGAGGAGGTGAAGTGGGTCTCAGTCTGGGGAATGAGTCTCTAGGGATGATTTTAGAAGAGGTAGGCATTCATTCATTCTTTCTTTCTTTTTTTTTTTTTTAATTTATTTTTTTTTTCTTAAAAATATAGTTTATTGATTTTTTACAAAGAGGAGGGGAGAGGGATAGACAGTTAGAAACATCGATCAGCTGCCTCCTGCACACCTCCTACCAGGGATGTGCTCGCAACCAAGGTACATGCCTTTGACCGGAATCGAACCTGGGACCCTTGAGTCCGTGGGCCGACGCTCTAGCTGCTGAGCCAAACCAGCCGGCATCATTCATTCATTCTTGATTGGGTATTCGTTCTGAGCCAGACCTAGCGCTTGGCAGTGAGAACAGAATGCTGAGCAGAAGTGGTCACGATTTTGATTGATAGCTGGTGCAGAGGCCACAAAGTGGCTGGCTCCTGGCTGGTTGGCCTGAAGATGCTTTTGCAAGCATTTAAAAAAGAGAAGTCTCTCAGAGAAGCCCACATTTCCATTCTCCATCAGAAGACATCAGAGCTGTCTGGTCACATGGAGGCCAGATTCCCACAGAGCAACGGCAGGCTGCTCTGCTGAAGGAAGGGCGGCACTCTGTCTTGGTCGCAGCCCCACCATCCCTGTTAGAACACGGACCTGCGTCCCCGCCCCCGCCGCCCTGAGGCTGTGAGCTGCCCAAGGCCCAGAGCGTCCTCCGTCAGACAGCAAGGCCTCACCCAGTGCCTGGCCCTGGGACAGACATCCTGGGAAGCACATCTTGGGGGCCTCAGGCTGGAGTGGGTCACACTGGGAGAGGAGACTGGTGTGAAATTCTGAGGGGACGTCTCAATCAGGACAGCCTGTGAGTGACAAACCCTGCTCAAATGGATTTCGCAAAACCTGGAAGCTGAGGGTCCCCAAAATTGTGACAGGCTTCAGGCCTAGCCATCACATGCTCCCTCCCTTCAGGCCCTGATTTTCTCTGCAGGGTTCCCTCAGTCAGGTGCTCCCCTTGTGACAGCAGAGATGACCCCAATAACTGGGCATGTCTCCCTCCTGTGAACACCATAGGATATTTGGTTTATGGTCTCAGGGTCGACTCTGATTGGTTCAGCTTGTGTCATGTGCTGACACAGTTACTGTGTCCTAACCAACCTGGTCATACGCTTGCCTCCCCTTCCCCCTGCCTGCCCCTGGCACCAGAGGAAACCAGCTGTGCTTAGCACAAAGAAGGGACAGGCTAGGTGGGCAGAATTCTTCAGGGGCTTCCCTGAGTGAAAGTGCGTGTCAGGCTTGGTGGGCTGCGTGTCAGAGCAGGGGTTCCGGGTCCGGGGCTCAGGTTGCAGAGAGGCAAAGGCAGTACTGGGTGCCGTCCCTCCCCGGGCTTCCCCCAAGCCCTGGGCCACCTGGCACAAGCCCTGCCATCTCTTCCTCCGCTGCAGGTGGATATCTGGTCGCTGGGGGTGATGGTGATTGAGATGGTGGACGGGGAACCCCCCTACTTCAATGAGCCACCCCTCAAAGCCATGAAGATGATTCGGGACAACCTGCCACCCCGACTGAAGAACCTGCACAAGGTGGGCCCTGTGGGCAGGCAGGTAGTGTGAGGAAGATATGCAGGTAGTGTGAGGAAGATAAGCAAGGGTGGCTGGTGTGGCCAGGACTGGGCATTGCTATCTCCTGGGGGTGGCATTTACTGTTGCTGGGCTCATTGCCCTCCTCGTCGCACAAGTGCTCACGCTGCCCTGACTGAAGGCACACGGCATGGTCAGGCCCCTGAGAGGGGCCTTCCAGGTAGAGCTGTCTTGGGGAGGGGGTGCCTCCAGGGCCCCGCTGCTGACAGCTCCTCACCAAACTGAAAATAGGGAGGAAAGGAGTCTGTGGGGCCAAGCTGTAGACACAGGGCACTTCTTTCCTCCCGACCTGGGCAGTAGATGTCAGCCAGTGACAGAAGAGGCGACTGAGGCCCCACAGCGAGTGAGCAGTGGAGCTGGCACTCAGACCCTGCCCTGCCTCCACAGGTGTCACCGTCCCTGAAGGGCTTCCTTGACCGCCTGCTGGTGCGTGACCCAGCCCAGCGGGCCACGGCAGCCGAGCTGCTGAAGCACCCGTTCCTGGCCAAAGCGGGCCCGCCCGCCAGCATCGTGCCCCTCATGCGCCACAACCGCACCAGATGAGGCTCGGTGCCCTGTCCCTGAACCAAAGAGCCCCTGGGGTTACCCCTGCCTTACCGAAGCCGGTAGGGGGCCGGCCTCTGCTCCTCCTGGCCTGGGAAACACTCCATGTGGCACTGCCTTCGTTCCGGGGCGGTGTGTGGGACCCTACTACTGAACTCCAGTTTGGTTTGTGACTCAAAATACGGGATTTGTGGGAGCAGGTGAGGCTCCCAGATCCTCCAGGACAGGCCCTCCCTGCTCTTCCCTGTCCCCAGGAGGGACAGACAGCTTCCCATCACTGGAACTCTGCATCAGGGGCTGCTGGCGATGGAAAGAACACTACGAGAGAGGCGCGCGCACGCGTGTGTGTGTGTGTGTGTGTGTGTGTGTGTGTGTGTGTGGTTCAGCTCCTCTGTCCTCCAGACTGCGAGTGGGTGTCTCTGACCTGGCCTCACATACAGCCCCTTCTCCCCCTGAGCCATGCGGGGGTCGATCATGAATGTCTGAAGAGTGGCCTTCTCCCTGAGCCCTGCATCTCCTTTCCGTGGTTGGATGGGGAGACAGGTCAGGGCTTCCCCTCACCCCCAGCCTCTGCAGAAAATGACTACTGCACCTGGACAGCCTCTTCTTTTCTAGAAGCCTATTTATATTGTCATTTTATAACACTCTAGCCCCTGCTCCCAGCGGGGACAGATGGTCCCTGTCCTGGGGGGGGCACCGGGGACAGAACCACTGCTTGAAGAATCAGGTTCCTGTCCCCTCGGCGCAGCCCCCCCTTCCCTCCCTCAAGTTAGTTTTACAATTAAAGCATTTTCTTGATTGGTGTGTGTGTTTGTGGAGTGTGTAGAGGCCCCTGCCTGCCCACACTGTCCAGGAGAGGGCGGGCCTGGCTAACCCAGGATTCCAGCCCAGCTTTGGGCAAGGGCTATGTCTGTGGGTGAGTGGGGAGGTCCAGGTCACAGAGCAGCCGGTAAAGCTGCTGCTCACGGGCAAATTGACCCCGCCCACCCCTTCCTCCAAGCCTGGAAGAGTCAGTTTACAAGTCTGAATGCCGGGATGACCAGTGCACCAAACCTGCGATTTCTGGCAACTTATTTAAAGGTTGTCTTGAGCATGTTCAGTGGGTAGGGATTAATCCTTCTGAGTGGATGCTAGTACATTGCTCAATGAGCAGACGGGCTTAGGGGCTTGGCCAAGGGGGATGGACCAGGGCTGCCAGCTTCCCAGAGACTTCATCAGTCAAGCTCTTCCCTGCAGGCCAACTGGGCCGGGGCCTAAGTCCCAACGAGGGAGGAGTCCAGCTGTTATCGAGTGACAGTGCAGCCCTCCAGGGCTTTGGTGTGTCCTCCCCAGCATGCTGAGGGGGGCTGGGCAGGAGCAGCTTCCCTGGGCAGCTGGGAGCACGGGGAGAGCCCCTCTCCATAGCCCTCCGGTGTCACCAGCCTGACTTGTGGGTGGAAGTGTGTGCTGAGGACCGAGAGACTCCAGCTTGGTCCACTACCACACTCCTCCACCGCCACGTGACTCTCCACAGCACCCTTCTCCACTGGCTCTGGCCTCCCCCAAGAATTGGGGTGCTGTTTCTGTGACAGCCTGGCTGAGTCCATGCACGGTCTAGGTAAATAATCACATTTAAACAGCCCAGCATGAGCAGTAATTGCTGTGTGTGAATGTGTCTGGAAAAAATACGCCAAATAAGGAGAAATAACCAAAAAGGCCAAAATAACCCCTGACACTTTTTTTTTTTTTTTAATGCTTTGAGCTTGAATACCTGAACAAATGAGCTGTGCCAGAATTTGAAGGATCAGGTAATTCCTACCTTGTACACATTGTTCCAGAAAAGAGGAAAAGAGGATAGCTGTCTGAGGCCATCTTATAGGCGCCTGGAATTACCATAATCCCCAACACACAGGGATGGCGAAGGACGAGCGATGCAGCCGCACTGAGTGCCTGGAGGTGCCACTGTAGGCGGAGATGCCCTCTGAGACTCCGCTCCCACTGTGTCTTCAGTCACAACCTTCACATGTCCTTGACTCCCCCTCCTGGGCCTGTGCTGTGGCTGAGCTAAGGTGACATTTGCCCCTTAGGCTGTGGGGGAGGAGCCCACAGCCACTCCGCTCCCACTGTGTCTTCAGTCACATAACTGCAGTCTAGGAATGGCTTTGGGAGCCCCTTCCCTCCTCCCCAGCGGCTGACGCCCGCGCTGGAGGAGTTCCTGGGGCATCAGTAAGAAACTCCTCTGGTTTCAAACAGGATTTAATACAGGGGTCGGTTACTAAGGCACTGGGGAAGCTGGAGGAGCGAGGAACCATAGTCACTGAAGGCAGGAGTCTCCACTGTGGGGCTGTCCAGCTTCCCACCCTCTGCTCCCACGGGAAGCCTCCTATTGGCAGGACCTGAGTGGTTCCAGTTGGAAGGGGTCGTGCAGGGCAGCTCGGCCCCCAGCCTCCGCGGACAAGGAGGCACTCGGAGGCCCGTGTGGCGGAGCAGCAGAGTCGTCTGTCCAGATGTTCTGTGCAGACATGGCACTCCACAGGAGTGTTATCTTAGCCACAGCACAGGTCCAGGAGAGGGAGTCAAGGACAAGTCAAAGCATGGTCTGGACCGGCAGCATCCCTGGAAACTTAATGGGAATGCAAGTTTCTGGGCCCACTGCCCCAGGCTGGTCACACCCTGTGGGACCTGGCTCTCTGTACTCCACGTAACAAACCTGCCAGGGCGTTCCGAGGCCGCCACAAGTTTGAGAGCCACTGAGACCTGTGGTTGGCCAGGGAGTGTGAGACTCAGCCCTGCCCATTCAGCAGGATCCTCACCTCCCACCTCACACTCCGCACTGGACGGTAGCCTCTGCCCCTGGTCCAAGCGCACTGCACCGCCAGAAGGAGCCAGACCACTTGCCTTGAAGGAAGGACCTTGTGGTTGCACCAGGGCCTTCGTGGCCAGAGCTTAGTCAGGGGCCCGCACTCAGAGCAATGAGGTTGAGAAATGTAGTCTATTGTGTCTGGCTAAAAATTCTATTACTATAAAATTGTGTTCCTTTACTCCTACTGGTAGACTATAAAGTTGATAGAGGAAAATATTCAATGGCCTAGTGGCAGAGAAGGATTTAATTTAATATATTTTTTAGAGAAGGTAGAGGGAGAGAGAAAAACATTGATGTGAGAGGGAGACATCAATCAGTTGTCTGCCACTGTTGGTACCCCAACCAGGGGTTGAACCCACAACCTGGGCATGTGCCATGACCAGGAAGTGCATAGGATGGCATCCAAGCAACTGATTCACACTAGCCAGGACTTCTTCAATAAAACATAAAAGGAACAAATTATGAAGAAAATGAATTTGGTTATATCAAAAATTTGTTCAAGGAAGGACATGAGCAAATATAATAGGTTCAGAATGGGGGGAAATATTTGCAAAGTGTAACACCTGATAAGTTTTTTTTTAACAAGAAAAGAAAAACCCTAGTAGAAGAATGGTCAAAGGATATATATAAGCAGGTAACTTACGGAAGAAAAACCCCAAAAGGCCAACCAGAGTGCACAGGTGCTCACACATAAACAGGCAACTTCCATCACTGAGCTGGCCCTTGAACAACATGGTTTGAACTGCATGGAGTCCCTCACCTGTGGACTTTTTCTCATAAAGAAAAAAAGAAAGATGTACTGCTTTCAAATTCCTGTTGAGAGTCTGAGGATATGGAGAGCTAAGTCTTTTTACATAGGGAACATGAGCATCTGTAGATCTTGGTATTTTCTGGGGGTTCTGGAATTGATCAGAATATCAAGCCTCAGGGAAGGTAGGTAATAGTGGGGATAATGGGGAGAGATCAACCAAAGAACTTGTATACATGCATATAAGCCTAACCAATGGACACAGACAACAGTGGGGTAAGGGCATGAATGGGGGAGTTGGGGAGTAATGGGGAAATAAGGACACATACGTAATACCTTAATCAATAAGAAAATTTTAAATAAATTTTAAAAAGCTATCTTTCCAGGCCAGATGTATCAATTACAAATTATGGACATAAAACAGTCATTTTGCAAGACCAAAAAAGAGACTCATTTACATATTATAATGGCTCCCAATGGGAAGCAAAGGAGGAAGATAAAGGTAAAGAATAAGGCCTCAAATGCCTTGCTGAAGATCTCTATAAGCCAGGGCAACCCCATGACCGGGGACAGGGACCCGGGGACTGGTATTTAAAATGGAAATTACCCAGGTGATTCTAACATGCAACCAGGATGCAGAATGAGAAGACGGCAGTTTGTTACTATTGACCTCAAACCTCATGCCTGCTTCTTGCCAACACCTCACAACTGATTGAGAAGGGCCCAGGGAGCATTTCACACCTTCCTTCCTTTCACAGATACTGAGACTGAGGTCCCCAGAGGGGAAGGGCCTGCCAGGTTACAGTGCTTAGGAGGACCACACCTGAACTCACTCACTCTCTCTCTCTCTCCATATATATTTCAGAGAGGAAGGGAGAGGGAGAAATAGAAACATTAATGATGAGAGAGAATCATTGATTGATTGGCTGTCTCCTGCATGCCCCCCACTGGGGATCAAACCCACAGCCTAGGCATATACCCTGACTGGGAATCAAACTGAGACTTTCTGGTTATAGGTTGATGCTCACCATTGAGCCACACTGGCCAGACCAGGCCTGACCTCTTGCGTCCCTCATTGGCTTTCTGTGCCAGGTCTTGTGCTGGGTGGTGAGGCTGCAGTCGCAAACAGGATAGATATGGTCCAGGAGGCTAGAGCTCTGATGCTCCAAGGGCCAGACGGGAATAGCCGCACACATGTTGTTTTATATTTTTATTGATTTCAGAGAGGAAGGGAGAGAGAAACATCAGCGATGAGAGAATCATTGATTGGCTGCCTCCTGCACACCCCACAGGGGACTAAGTCCGCAGCCCAGGCATGTGCCCTTGACTGGAATCGAACCTGCGACTCATCAGTCTCCAGGACCAACACTGGCAAGGGCCACACATGCCTTTCTGAAAGGGTTGTCACTG